TGGCCGAGGGGACCTGTGTTCACTCTGGGAGCTCTTAGCTTTGTGGGAAAGCTGCACAGAGAGGGACAGAGCTCCCAGGCTGGAGGCTGTGAGTGCAGAGCAGTGGTTCTCAAACCTGTGGGTCGCGACCCCCCTGAGGGTCAACCGACCCATTCACGGGGGTCCACTAAGAGCACTGAAAAAAATTACAGATCTTCACATTATGATTCATAACAGTGGGGGAATCACAGTTATGAAGGAGCAGCAAAATTTTACGGTTAGGGGTCACCACCACACGAGGAATTCTTTTAAAGGGTCGCAGCGTCAGGAAGGTTGAGAACCACTGGACTAGACGAAGGCTCTGTCACAAGCTAGCCAGCACAGGGGACGTGACGTGGCACTTCTGCCACTTTATAATTCCACAGTGCCCTGACAGTGGTACTTACATAAGGGGCCAAGGGCCCTGGGAAATGAGGAGTAACTGACCTTGAAAGCAAGGGTGATCTTTCCACTGGGGCTGATTCTGGGCACGACTCATGGGTCTTGGAGGAGATGTGTGTCTAGGACAGCCTTCCAGAGCTGGGGCTGCCATTTAGGGGTAAGCATCTATGTTGACCGAAAGGACACTGGGGACAGGGGTGAGGAACGAGGGATGGGGTGAAGACTGGACCCCTGGGAAGGGGGCTGTCTGAGCTAGCATTGGAGGCATGATCTGGAGTTCAGTTAGGAGACAAGAATAAGGGGACTGACTTCAGAGGGGCTTGTGTTTGCAGGAGAGTGGCCAGGGGAAGAGGGAGAAGTTGCAGGGGAGAGGGTGGCAGGGCGGGTTCCAGCTGCCTCCTTGTAGCTAATGAGAGTGAAGGGCTTGTTTCGAGCTGTGGGAAAACCGGCAGAACATCAATGGCAAATCAGGCAAGGACTTGAGAAAGTTAATCCTTCAGGACCCTGGGTGAAGAGGGAAGGCCAGCATATGTCTGGAGCTTTCTTTGTGGGTGTGACAAAAATCACTGACAGAAGCGACTTAAGGATGGAAGGGCTTATTTGGGCTCCCAGTGTGAGGCTAAGGTTCTCATCTAAGCAGAAAGCACTCTAGCTGCGGCGGCAGGAACATAAATGTCCGAGGTCAGAAAGCGGAGAGAGATGAACGCTGGTGATGAGCTTGCTTTGCCCTCTTCATGTAACCCGGGCCTTTGCTCCTGGAGTGGTGCCTCCACGTTCAGAGTGAGTCTCCTCATCTCACTGAGTCCCTCCGGGAGGGGCCAGAGAGATGACTCAGTGGTTAAGTGAACTTGCTTGCTCTTCCAGAGCACAGGAGTTCCCTTCCCAGCACCCATGGCAGCCAGCTCACACCTACCTGTAACTCTTGCTCCAGCATGTGTTCAGACAGACAGACAGACAGACAGACACACAAAAGTCTTTATAACACTACCCCCTCACAGACATGCAAAATATTTCTAGGTGATTCTAAAGCCAGTCGTGCCGACAAGATTAACCACAACAAGCAGATCACTCTGATCGAGGGATCTGACATCTTGGGAGCTACAGAGACGAAGCCTCCCAAACGTCCCATGAACTGTTAAGGGAAACGGCCCTGGCTGTGAAAGGGCAGCCTTGGGTCTCACCCAGCATCCCGAGACAGAAACCAGAAGGAACCATGTTAGGCACAGAAGCAAGCTGGGCTAAAATCCTGCCTTTGAACCCTGTGTTCCCATGGTCTAGAAGGGAAGGTGCTATTTGCTGAGCCCCAGGATGCTGCAGCCAAGATGGGCAGGGGCAGCGCCACAGCACGCACAGGAACTTCTGGAAAGCCAGGAGCCCTGCCCATACATACCCACACAGCCCGGGACCCCACACACATGCTGGTCTGAGGGTCCATGCGCAGATGCTTTGTTTTAATTTGGGAAGCGAGCCCCAAGAAGCTCTTGCCCCCCAACCCACACTACTAGAAAATGAACCAGGAGAAGAAACAAAGCAACTAAGCTGAGAATCTGGGGACCCCTAAGGGAAGGCAGCACCCCTCCAAAGTTGTTCCATTTGAAGGGCTGTGAACCACGGCAGCAATGATTTAAAAAAAAAAAAAGCATTTCATTGGGGCTGGCTTGCAGTTTCAGAGGCTTAGCCCACGATGACGCAGTGCCGGAGAAGCAGCTGAGAGTTCCACCTCTGGATCCTCAGAAAGCAGCCGAGAGAGCCACTGGGTGTGACTCTCAAAGTCCCCCCACAGGGACACGCTTCTTCTCACATGGCCACACCTCCCAAGCCTTCTCAAGTAGTGCTGCTCCCCAGTGACCAAACATTCAAATAGATGAGCCAGTGTGTGTGTGTGTGTGTGTGTGTGTGTGTGTGTGTGTGTGTGTGTG